TTTCTTGTATGGTGTGAAGTAAGGATCAAGTTTCTTTCTTTCTTTTTTTTTTTTTTTACAGAGATACCCATGGGATTTTTGAAGGAGGAGAAAGAGTCTGGAAGCAGCAATGGGGAGCATTTGCCTGATCTCCTGGCCCTGACATGTATGGGGCCTCTACTTGAGAAGAGCAGAAATTTCAGTTAATGCAAAAGAAACATCTGAGAAGAGGTTAAGAATATAGTGGTACTTGCTGAATGCAGCTGGTTCCTGGAGGGTGCACAGGGAGAGTTTGAGAGGGCAGGGACAAGGATGATTGCACCAGACCAGGGGATGTAAAGAGCAGCAGTATGCAGGGTAGGTTATTCACAGGGATGGTTATACTGTTTGAAATTTACATTAAAATACTGAGCATTGAAAGTGTGACATATATTTATATGTATATTCATTTTTAAAATCTAAATAGTTAATATTTGAAGTACCCTAATCAGGAGTCCACTCTTGGGGTGTTTAAATTAGTATTTGATGCAAATCAAAACTACAATGAGATATCACCTCACGCCCGTCAGAATGGCTATAATAAACAAGACAGGAAACAACATGTGTTGGAGAGGATGTGGAGAGAAGGGAACTCTCATACACTGCTGGTGGGAGTGCAAACTGGTGCAGCCACTATGGAAAACAGTATGGAGATTCCTCAAAAAATCAAGGATAGAACTACCATATGATCCAGCTATTCCACTCTTGGGTATTTATCCAAAGAACTTGAAAACACCAATTTGCAAAGGTACATGCACCCCTGTGTTCATTGCAGCGTTATTCACAATAGCCAAGACTTGGAAGCAACCTAAGTGCCCATCAAGGGACGAATGGATAAAGAAGCTGTGGTATATATACACAATGGAATACTACTCAGCCATAAGAAACGATGAAATCCAGCCATTTGTGACAACATGGATGGACATTGAGGGTATAATGCAAAGTGAAATAAGTCAGAGGGAGAAGGTCAAATACCATATGATTTCCTTCATTAAGTAGTAGATAATAACAAAATAAACAAACACATAGGGACAGAGATTGGATTGGTGGTTACCAGAGGGGAAGGGGGGAGGGAGGAGGGTGAAAGGGATAATTTGGTACATGTGTGTGGTGATAGGTTGTAATTAGTATTTTGGTGGTGAACATGATGTAATCTATCCAGAAATAGAAGTACAATGATGTACACCTGAAATTTTTACAATGTTATAAACCAATGTTACTGCAATAAACAAAAAATTAAAAAAAAAAAATTACTATTTGAAAAATCTCCAAATAGGAATTGATGTACCAGAGGATGTTTCTGCCAACTATTCGAATATCCTTATAGTTACAGTTTGTAAATTAGTGTAAGGAATGTTAGATATTTTTCACTGGTTAAAAGAGAGGTATTCAAGATACATGTTGGGCTGGCTTAAAACAGTGCTGGCAAGTCCTCTCCTTCTTGAACAGAGTATAAGAATTGGTGTGCATTTGGTGTGACCAGGTGACCTCTTTGAACCTTGATTTTCTTCTCTGTAAAATGGGAAGAATAATATCTGTCTCCGAGGGGATGCTGAGAAAAATGAAGCTACACCTACCTCCAGGCCTGGCACTTAATGATTGTTCTATGCATGTGTATTTGTTCCTTTTCCTTCGACCACCTTCTTTACTATATTATTTTGAACTCCCCATTTTATATCAGTTACCATTTTCTCTTTTGTGTCCTCATCTCAACTCTCTTGCTAGACACAGCCTTCAAGCTTAACTAATGCTGGCCTCCCTCTGAAGATCCCAGGGCAGTCTATCAAATCTTCTACACCAAATCACCTGGGATGTTTCTTTAAAATGCAGATTCCAGGGATCTACCTCCAAAGGCTGTGATTCCATGTGCCTGTCTGTGTGTGGTCCAGGAGTCTGCAGTATCATCAGCACCCCTAGCTGTGCTAAATGAGGTGATCAAGGGCCACACTTAGAGAAATCTGTGATCTGAGCAAACTTTGCCTCAGAAGCCCTAGAGCTGCATTTTCTTCAAATTCAGATGTGAACAAAGACAGCAAACCTAGTTTTCCAGTCCCCCATGGGGCCTCAGACTGAGCTGACCCAGAAATCTGAAGTGAGTTCCTCACCCACACTACTCATTTCTGTTCTTGACGACATGGAAACATCACTTTTGCCTATCCAGCATCCATGTCCCCTTTCTCTGGTGACCCTCTGGATTTTCCTCACTCCTGGTCAAAACGGTTCAAGCAAGGCTGATGCCTCCCCCCAACTCAAGTCAATGAAGGTCAGCCTATGGGACATTTACTAGGACCGGGGAGAAGATTGCCCTTCCTTGAGGGATACTGAACTGGTAGGAACAGAAGCCTGGAGCTGCCTGGGCTAGTCTTACATAAGGTGGAGAACCTCCTGAGAATGAAACCATAAAGATCTGTGACATCTGTAGGCCCCTGGGGTTCCTGATAATATGAGTTACTAATTCTCTTTTTGGTTTAAGTCAGTTTGAGCTGGAATCTTCCTTACAACTGCGAGTTCTGACTAATACACAGAACCGACCCCCCAAATGAAGGCCTTTACATCACCCTTTCTCTCCTCCTCTCACCCCTAGCTCTCTGCACCAATGGATCCCCCCTCACTGGGCTGTCCCAAACAATTCCCCTCCACCTCACTTTCCTCACAGAACATCACCTCCTTGCCACAACTGAAATCCTAAGGATGCAAGTTTATATCCCTGTAGGCAGGGGACGTTCCTCTTTAGGTAGGGCCAGGTCTAGCCCACTTTTCTTTCACACTTAGATAGGGAAAAAATCCTTTTCCTTTGAGACTCGTGTTATTGAGCTCACTAATATTTACTAATTTCCTGGTTACTTAATTCACTTAGGACTTGCACATCTGTTTTACAGCCTCTTCTACCTCTGCCCTCATTCCAGAGGGATCTCACCATTCCATTTAATAGCCTGTAACCATACTTTATACAGCACTTACTGCATATCAGGCAAGATTCTCAGCACTTTACATATATCTTAGCTCACTCAACCCTTATAATAGCATATTATCCCCATTTCATAGATGAGGAAACTGAGGCATAGAAAGGCTATTTAGACTTGTCTAGAGTTACCCAGCTACGGAGTGGTAGAATGGGGATGAGGACAGGGAATCTAATCACAGGGTCTGGGATCTTAACACACACGCCAGCCTCCCAGTTCCCTCAAATTGTAGCATCCCCCATATCTACTCTATATTGGTCCTGTGAAGGTGGGAGTCAGGACCTCCTCCAACCGAGTCACTGGACATTTGTAAGGTCCTTGGAGAGGAGGAGATGTCAGCTGAGGGTGGTTTGGATGGGCATTGGAGATCTATACCTCCCCTTCCTACAGCTGAATCATTTAAGGTCATGTCCCGTGTAAATGTACCAACTGATAGATAGGCCTAGAAGCTGGGATGTAAGTTGGGCTGAAGACAGAGCAGCAGCAAAGCAAGTTATATATTCTGCTCCTGGGACTCCAGGAGCACAGGCCTCTCCTCTACCCCAATAGTCTTCATTGTCTATGGGAAGCTTGCTGCATTCAGGCCAGTCCACCCTCCTCTGTCTAGGATTGTCCTTAGCATGTGTCCCTTGTCTATATCCTTACCCACGGCCCTGTGCTCCTCATCCCTCCAGAAACTTTGCACCATAGGTTCAACACCTCTGGTTTTCTTCCTTCCTCTGTTTGAGATAGCGCGGAGAAGCTAGGGGCCCTGAGAGGAAGCCAGGGAGCAATTTCACCATCCCAGCCAATCACACATGGATGTAGCTTCGTCCAGAGCTGCTCCACTCTGAAAATTCACACTCAGACCCCCCACCCCAACATTCCGGCTCTCATTCCTCTCTCCAGCCCAAAAGCTTCTCCACCTCCCCTTCCAGCTGCTGAAAGGCCCTCCTGGCTTCACAATGCCCGCTAACATAACTTCCACGAGCCCCAGTCCTGCCGGACGCAACCTGCCACACGCATCCCTATAAGAACACAAACGGCCCACTTCTCTGCTCCAGGTCTACTACTGGTAGAAAAAACTCAACAAATGTGTGTACCGGTGCCATCAGAAAGATAAGGTCGCCAAGCTCAGCATGGCCCCCCATGACACCAAGCAAGCCTTATCAGTGCTCACAATAGCTACCGTTATAACTATTTACTGAGCGCTCACCATGTGCCAAGCAGTATCCTAGTCTCTTTACAAGCACTTGATTTAATCCTCAAAACACCACCATGAGTTAGAGACCATCATGGGTCCCATTTTACAGAAACGAAAACTGAGGCACCGGGCGGTCAGGACCCGCTCGGGGTCACAACTGCACCACTCTGGCCGCACTCACATCCCGCACGCAGCTGTGTGCTCGCCAGGAGCCCAGCCAGGTGCCCGGCCGTCCCTATGGCACTAAACTGCTGTGTCACGCTGAAGCAGCGGCTTCACCGGCGAAAGTGAAAGAACGTGAACGAGGCGAGAGCAGCAGAGAATCCCCGCCGGGAGATCCGAGAAGGAGGCAGGCTGCACACGCAGAGATAATTCCCGGTCTTCGTTACTCAGCACCTTGCGGGGTGCGCGCGGCTGGGGGGCGGGGGCGTGGCGGGCCTCTTCCAGGAAAGCGCCGGCTTTGGCGGCACCTTCTCGATCCTGGGCGCGTTCTATGAAGGCCTGGCTGACCCCTTCCCACGTGACCCTGTGGCTCTGGGTATGGCCGTCGCCTCCCCGCCATCCCGCGCCGTGCATCTGCACGCGCCCTTCAGGTCGCTCGATGGCCCCCACAGGTCCCCAATCCCAGTCCGGGTACGGGACAGCCTTGCCGGCGGTTTCGGGCGGAGGGTGCTTCCTGGAGCTCCGCCCCGCGCCGGCGACGGCCCCGCCCCCCGACAGCGGTCCCGCTCCCACCCGGCGGCTCCGGGAGGCGGGGCCTGGCCGGGCGACTTGGCGGGCTCGGGAGGCCCGAGCGGGCGCGCCCCCGCCACACGCACGCCGCGCGCGCCCGCCCGTCCCGCCCCTACTGCATAAAGGGAAGGAGGGCTGCGCTCGCTCCAAGCTGCGTCCGACGCTTTGGATCCGCTTCCATCGCTTGTTACGGTCGCTCGTCAGACTCCAGCTGCCAAAATGGTGAAGCAGATCGAGAGCAAGGTACGCGCTCCCGGGGAAGGCCGGGCGCGACGCGCAGCCTCCGTAGCTGGGGGAGGCGAGGGGCCGGAGCTGGGCAGGCCGCCGCTCCGCATCCCTGGGCGAAGGGGACGCGGCGGCTCGGCCTGGGACTGCGAGAAGCCCGGGCCTGGGTGCGCCGGAGGTGTCGAGCATGCCCTGGAGGAAGGGCAGAGGGGGACGAAGGCGCCCTGGAGGGCGAGGTCAGGGTGCCCAGCGCTGCCCGCGCCCACTGCGCCCGGGGGATGCACGCGCACGGGGAGCGCCCAGGTGTCCCCCTCTGCGCCTCCTACACCTCCAGGTCTGGGAAGCCGTGATTGAGTGAGGGGATGTAGGGAGTCCGCCCTTGGCCCCATAAATATCCGGATACGGGCCCGGGCCAGCAGGTGGAGGGACCCTTGGAGAAAGCACGGGGTTGCTGGCCGCCACTCCCTCGCCGGTGAGCGGCGTGATCCACCCGCGCTGGGTGGGTGAGCTCCCTTGGGAGCGGATCTAGGCCGGAGACCTCCGGCTGCCGGTCCCCAGAGATGACGCGTGCTGTATCCGCGCAAAGGGGGCGGTTCCAGGCTGGAGACCCTCCTCGCGTGTGGGAGTCCGGCCCGGAGGCCCAGGTGGCCGCAAGGAAGTGAGGTCCGGGCGGCGCCCTTGGGACTCCTCCTCTTGCGGCGCAGGGCGTGTTTCCGGCAGCGCTGGCTTTGGAATGACTCAGTCCCCAAGGCTAGGCCCAGGGGACTCCGCTGCCCTACCCATTTGTGATTCACCCACAGTTGGTGGATTTCGCTGAAGCCTTAAGTTCCCCTGGGAGCAGCCGCGCCCGCCTGCGTGCTCGTCGCCCCTGGGTACCCTGTTGGTGGTTCTGTCCTTTTAGGGATGCCCAAGGCAAAAAGTGTTCTCATACTGGAGAGTCATTGCAAGCCTAACACCCTCCTGCCCGGAAAACTCAGAGCCTAACATAGTGTCTGGTATATTGTAGCTATTCAAGAAATGTTTGTTAAATGCAGAGTCATGAAAGTGAGTGAGAGAGCATTGATGTTGCTGGAACAGTGGAAGACCTCTCCAAAGCATTACCCCTGCGGTACCCCCGACCCTAGGATAAAGCAGGGGGAAGGCGAGACCTCCCCCGCCATGAGTGCCCCCACCTGTTAGCTGCTGGGATGGGCTTTGGGAAACAAGTTTCTCTGTGATGATCCCTTATCTTTTTGTTACTTTTATAATCAGAAAACATGTATGATCATGGTAGAAAATTTGGGAAGAGGGAGATTGTCTATTTCCTAGAAGCAACCACAAAGTAATTGAGATTATTTTACGTATACTGTTTTGTTTCTGAACTTTTTTTCCCCGTCTAATTTAGCCTGAACACTTTCCATGTAACGAGAAGCTTTTGTAATCATTTCAATATCTGAACGCATTGCTGCACATTTCGGCAGTTTTCGATGCTTCAGTGAATATTTTTGTTCATAACGCTTTGTACAGACAGAGTTCAGACTTTCCTCAGGTTGAGGTCTCGAGTGCAGTGATGGTGAACCTTTTAAAGCTTGTCAATGCCCCAAGAAACATAGGAGAGTTCTCCTTGCCCTCCACCCCATGAACGCTGACTTTTCCCCCGTAACTTCGGCCAAATCATTAGTAAGAAAAATAGTCCCAATCTAATCTGAATATCTTTGATTAGTGACTCTGAACCCCTCCCCCCGCATATGTTGATTGGCTAATGGTAGTCTGTTGTCTGCTTTTCCTTGATCAATTTTTTCCTATTGGGATCCTCCTCTTTTAAATTGTGTGAGCTTTTATATTAAAATTAGCACCCTCTCATTTGTTGAAAAGAGAGCTCCTTAATAGTGAGTTTTGTTCCACATACTTTTATTCAGTACCTCCTAAGTGACAATCTGCGGTGGGGGTGTTCTCCAGCCTCTGGCGACCTCATCAGTATAACCCAGCAGGTGAGAACCCATTGAAGGAGTGAGGCAGCCTTTGAGTGGCTTCTATTAGTTGTTTCACATTCCATACACTACAAACAAAAAATTGATTCCTGGAGTACGCCTTTCAGTCCTTCCCTATTTTAGTTGTTGGAAAGATGGCACCCTCCTCCTCTCATCAGCGGGAAGATGTGCAAGGGTGACAGGAAATTCATTACTCAAAAAAGCACTAGCCTGGGGCCCAAGGACCCTGATAATCAGTTGATTTTCAAAATTGTGATCCAGAGTCATCAAAATTAAATTACTTTGACCATTACTTGTGAATATTGAATGCACCTTAGATTTTCATCCTAGTGGACTACGTTGGTGCCCTGGGCCATCCAGGGTAACTCTGAGGCACTGTGTTGGTTGAGAGCCACTAGGCTCTATTTCAGACATGAGTGGGATAATGGATTATAAATGTGATGAGAAAGAAATCAACAGTTTGTTTTCTTTTCTTTAAAAAATAGTAGCTGCCATTTATTGAACTATCTTCTACACACAGGCATTTTGCTAAATGCTTCACATCCACTCTTAAGCTTATTATCTCTGGAATGGGTATGTTTAGGAAAAGAGATGCTAGACTCTGCTCTTATCTACCTCAGCTCAGCTCCACTGTTTTGTTTTCAGAACATTTGTGTCAGTAATGGGTACCTTGATTAATCCTCATTGTTAGTTTCCAGGAGCTAGAAATGGTGCTTTGCATCTTCGATAGTCTTGAATCATTTTTAAACTGATGTCTGTTTTAGGCAAACTTTTAAGTATCAGGAGATGAGAATTTGTTATGAAGTCTGCACGTACCTGGCTCTGTAACTCCTGATCAGTTAAGCCAAAAGTTATCGTTGCATGCCTCTTTTCAGAGTTTTAGGTAGTTTTGCTTGAATTTGATTCAGAATCATTTTGGGAAACCCTTGAGGGTGTTTGAAATACATTGTATGTTGAAAGTAATCCCACCAAGAATTTACTGAGGGCCAGCCATGTTCACAAACAAATGTGTTCATCTGACCAGACGTTGGCATTCCCTGACTTGTTTCCTGCCTTACGTGGATCTTGCAGTGAAGAATGGCTGGTTTGACCTTCTACAAAATCATGTTAGGGCAGGCTTTGAATGAAATTCAGCTGGAAAAATTGGTGATGGTTTGTAAAAAATAAGTTCTGTACTTCTAACTTCCTCTCTGTGGCTTCCCACCCCCAAGCCCACCCATACACATCTCCCCACACCCAAAGGTGGGGTGGAAGTTTGTACCTGCATAACTGAAAAGCCTACAGAAGTCGTGACTTACCATTCTCAGGAACATTATTTGTGAATTGTTTCCCAAAAAAACATGAGGTAGAAACTAGAAATCTAGGGAAGTAACGGTACTTCAGAGGGATTCACTTTGGATTCACTTTTTTTTATGGTGTTTTATTTGTTTACTTTCTTTCTTTACTGCACCAGATCTGATATGATTCTTAGCTTTCAAGGGAGGGGAATGTTAGTTTTTAATTAAGCCAAGGTGACTAGTATTTTTCCCTTGAAGAAACCTAGACTTCAGATACAGATGTTTCTGTTTTGACTTCTCTTCGTTGCTCCCGTTTTGGTCAGCGCTGACTGATTGATTGTCGGTAAAAATGAGTCCCTTGTTAACTAGAAGGTTGGGTTCCTAGGGTTACAGTATCAAGACCGTCAGTTAATTATTCAGGGAGGTTGGTGGGAAGGGATTTCTTGATCATTTCTGTTGGTGGAATTTTACTTAACATGCATTCTTTATGCAAAATAACATCTAAGGAAATTCCTTTCATGAGGAACTAAAACTGTGTTTCATGTGGTCCACGATGAGGGCAGAGTTTTGAGATAAAGGGCAGAAATCAAAGATAAACAGTGTGATCTCAATTGTGGAAACTCCATTAAAAAGAATACAAGGAAATATACTTAATGTCAACAGTGATTGTCTGAGCGTAAGGGTTTGGGAAGGTTATTTTCCTTGATATTTTTTTTGAGCTTTTGGCGTGTTCTACCATAGAAAATAGTTTAAGCAAAAAAGTGTTAGCTTTTTTCCAAAAAACCTAGATTTGATGTGGAAACATTTTTAATACAAAAGTCTTTTCCCTGTGTTTGCTTAGTTTGGATATAGATTAATGAACAATATTTTAGAAAACTCATGAAGACACGAATGTCGATACACTATGTACATTATATTTGTTTCATCTTATCAAGTAATACAACAACACTGTAGGATTTCTTCAAATATAGTTTGTTTTGATTTGTTTTTTTTACTAAAAATTAGGTCCTAAAAGCTGGACCTCCAAATTGTACTTTATGTCACGTTCTATCAAGTTTTATCAGGGCTTTTGGAAATGAAGCTATTAAACATATGCTTTTCTTTTTCTCTTCTTAGTTTGCTTTTCAGGAGGCCTTGAACGCCGCAGGAGAAAAACTCGTAGTAGTCGACTTCTCAGCCACGTGGTGTGGGCCTTGCAAAATGATCAAGCCTTTCTTTCATGTGAGTATTAAACAGCTTCTCCTTTGTGAGAGATTTGTGGTTACAAAGCTAGGAAAGAGGGAGAGTTGAAGACCTTTGGGGTTTTTTTTTTGCATCTTTGGTCTAAAAGAAATAGTATAACAACTTAATTTAGGTTGACACTGTAGGCCATTGAAGACAACTTGGTTGTCTTCAAACTAAACACAGGCCCTATTTGAAATTTAGGTTTCAAAGTTGATACACCAAATTATTTATTTATTTATTTTTTGCATGACTTTTATTTTTTTGGCACCAAATTATTTTATATTAGGAGGAATTTGATTCAGAGAAAATGTATGTCCTTTATGCTTACCTGGTCCCAGGTCTAAATTTTTGGATCTTTAGTTAATCTCTACTTTTATTAAGTTTCCATTTAAGAAGCTTGAGTGTGTTGACTGCCATTACCGAGTTCTAAATCTTTGTGGATTTTTCCTTTTAAATTTTCCAGTCCCTCTCGGAAAAGTATTCCAACGTGGTGTTCCTTGAAGTAGATGTGGATGACTGTCAGGTACGTGGCTGGAAATTTGCAGTACTGCTAAGCTTTTCACATTGGCCTTTTCCTCTGAATTGCACGTGCTTGTTTTCATAAATATGTCAAATAATACTAGAACTACAGCCCTAGCTAAAAAGTTGTATTTTGGAAGAACAGGTAATTGTGCCAACTATGAGCTTAATCCTAGACATCAGGGCTCTGTCCATCACGTCCTAAAGTAAGCATACCAACAGACAGCTCTCTCTAAAATCCTGCATATTCTACCTAAAATTCTCAGATGCTCAGTAAATAGAAATTGAATTTGACTATGGTAACTAAGAGTGGATGGTATCGCCAAACTGGGTGGCTACTTTTAAGGTTCTTTGTGAATTAATGACACAAGGAAGTGTATTCGCAAACCTGTCCTAGTCTATTTTAGTCAATTGGAAAACCCATTTGTTTTAAAGAACAAACACCAAGGTGCCTGATAGAGAGCTCAGAGTGTAATCTGGGGGAAAATTCTAGAGTTGGTTTAATTTAACAAGTGTTTGTTTAGCACTTTATGTGCCAGGCACTGTTCTATGTGCTTTACAAATATCGATTCATTTCATCCGTGGTGCTGTCATCATCCCATTTTACAGATGAGAAAACTTAAACACAGAGAGGTTGCCATGGAGTCACAGTTAGGAAGTGGCAGAGCCAGGATTTAGAATGAGGTGGTCTGCCTTCCCAGCTGATGCTCTTAACCACATGCTTTAGAGGAGGCTCTGTCATGTGGGTGCAGGTCAGGCCCCCAGCACATGACCTCGCCTCTCACACAGCCCACTGAACAAGGAGAGTGTATTCAAGATGCATCACCCAGGGTCTCTTTACAGATGGGTGGGCCTTTCCTCTGAGCCCCAATGGGGCAGGAGGGGTTTGGGGTATGATGTCGTGGACCTGGGTTCTTGTCCTGTCCCAGTGACTTCTGTTTTAGGCTCATCTCTCTTCTCCCTTGAGCCTTGGTTCTTCTCTTTCTGTGTCCAGATCTTAAGACCTGCCGCATCAACCTCCCACGGTTGCTTATTCATTGAGCAAACATGGGGTGTTTAATAAAGGTACTGAAGGGTTAATAAAATCAGGTATATGGCAGTACTTTCTAAACCTGTGAGGACCTGCCAACACCACATTGTTTATTCTCAGCACATTTTCTGATGCCACACTCAGGCCTTTGCTGACACTGTCTTCTCTACCCAGCATATCCTTTCCTTTCCTTCCAGATGAACTCCTAGTCGTGAGCTTCACATCTTCTTCAGGAAGCCTTCCCCAGGTAGCCCCTTTTAGGCCCCAGACTAGGTTACTTTCCGTTCCTGTGTCCCCATGATGTCCTCTGCCCCTCTTGTCCTCTTGCATTTGTGGTAGTGGGACGGGGAGGATCCCGCACCTGACTGCCTGCTTGTTTCCCAGCTCTGTGCCTCATTAGCTGTGCAGGCTTGGTTACGTTATTTATCTTTTCTGTGCCTCAGTTTGATCCTCTGCAAAATGGCCACGTTAATCCAACATCATTGGTAGTTGTCAGGATTAAGTGAGATAATACCTGTGAAGTGCTTAGAATAGTGCCTGGCACGTGATAAGTACTCAGTGACTCTTGGCTATTATTATAATGATCTCTCTGTGTTTGTCCTTTACCATTAGTCCCTGTCAGTTTCTTGGGGTCAGGGACCCTGTCATATTCACTTTTGCTTCCCCTTTACCTAGCATACCTGCTTGCATGTAGTAGGTCTGGAATGAATGAATGGATCATTATTGTATGGTTGTTAAGTTATTGTTCTGATGTGTCCCAGAGTTTTAAAAGAAAGAAGTGAGAGTAGATAGCATGTGTTTGTGGAAAAAAACCCTTGTTCCCTGCTATAACCTAACTTACACTCTTGTTTTTTCATATGGTCACCTTAACCAGGTGAGAATGGCACCTGGAAGGGACTAGGGAAACTTCTGGCTGGTACTGACCCTGTCGTAGCAACTGAATAGATTTTATTTGAAAGTAATAACATGTGCTAGATGCTGAGGTCAGCTCTCTGAGTGCCTTATGTCATGTAATCACCACAGTAACTATGAGAACAGCTTTTATTAGCTCCCCCATTGAACAGACAATGGGACTGCAGCATGGAAGGAGAAGTAGGTCAACCGAGGCAGAGCCTGTGGTTTTGACTCCTGTGCTGTGCTGGACCAGGGACAGGTACTCTTACTGCCTCAATCCAAAACCTTTGGGAAGTGGGTGTGCAGAGCAGTCAAGGACTTCTGTGTGACAGCTCCTCCTCCATGTCTGGGTGGCCTTCTCATAATCACCCTGAAAGTTCCAGACATTGGAGTGACCCTCTCACAAACTGGGGACCTTTCACTTTGCCGCCATATTCTAAAAATGGAGCAACATGCAGTATTTTTTTCCTTTGAATACCTTTAATGACTACTATTACACTATCTAAATAGCCTTATTGATCTGTTGCAGAGTTAAAAATTGAACTCATTCCAGAACCCTTTGGTCACCACACACACGTAGCAGCAGTCTCTGTCAGCTCCTACTCACCTGGCCATTCAGCAGAATTAGTAAGGCAGGTAATTTAAACAAAAAGCAGTTTGTTAAACAACCAGTGAGTTGTTTTTCCCCGTGGAATTTACAAATGACATGAGTGGATCTTATGGTTGCTGTGGAGTTCTGTAGGTAAAACCATCACCTTGTTTTGACTCTAAAAGAATACAGATAAGGGATAAAAATTGCATCAATCTCATTTCTGAATGTTAGGTCATATTATTAAATAGATGGAATGTCGAATGATTGAATTAGTTTAAGTTTTTTATGCAGATACTTCCTGACCATAAACTTCGGACCCAGGGTACTTTACATTTATAATGTCTTCGGGGCAAGCGGCATACAGTTAATAGAAGGATCTCTAAACACTTGGAAGAAAGTATGTTTTAGGTGTAATAGATTCAAAGGGACATATAATGTGGTACACAAAATAATTTTGAATTCATAGAAAAGTATGAGTGCTAGCCCTTTTGAAAATGAAAGACTCTACTCCCAACTCTCTACAAGGTATGATACTTATTTTGTAAATTAAAACAAGAAACAAAGTAATTTAAATCAGATAGTTTTGCAACCTTTTAGGATGCTGTGTGTTTCCATTTTGATTAGAACAGCCAGGAATGAGTTAATAGAAGTGACAAAAGGAGGTTTAAAGTTATTTCAGCTACATGCAGTGCTAAGCTAGAAACCAATGAAACTAATAAGGTAAAATGTAGTCTTGTTACGCTTACTAATAAAAACTAATGAAAATCCAAGATCGGGCAAAACTATAGAGATGGAGAACAGATCATTTGTTGCCAGGTTTGGGGTGGGAGGAGGGTTTGACTACAAAGGAGCTGCTGAAGGAAATTTTAGGGGACACTGAGGAACAGTTCTGTATCCTGATTGTGTGGTTGTGGGGGTGGTGACATGACTGACTGTGCATTTGTCAAAACTCGCAGAACTTACACGTTCCCCCCAAAAGTGAATTTTACTCTAAGTTTTTTAAGTTCTAGATCTATAAAAAACACAAACAAACCAGGAAGTGGGGGTGTCATTAGGGAGTGAGCTAGCCTTCTGAATGTTTTTAAAACCTCAAAGGTAGCTACTTAAATTTTTAAGTATACATACCTTTTAAATCACTACAGGAATAGGCAAATTAGTCCATGGAACAAGAAGTAGAAAGCAATAGAAATAAAAATAAGACATTAACTGTAGACAGTAAAGATCAAATGTTAGTTAAAGAACTACTCAACTTTACCAAGGTCCATAAAAGATTGTAATAGATGGGTATACTGTGTTCCTAGATAGTGATTCAGTTTTATTAAGACATCAGTACTCCCAAATTTTTCTAACTTGAACTCAATCTCAGTCTGACATTTTTGGGAAATTGACCATGATGTTCTGAAATAATATAGTCGGGAAAATCCTGGAAAGTATTTTAAAAAAATGAGAATAGAAATTGTGGGGGGTGGGAAAGGACAAGCCCATAAAGTATATTAGCTGCACTAGTTAAAACAGGGTGGTCTCCTAACCAGAATAGATAGGTTGATCCATGGAATAGAATAGAAAGTCCAAAAAAACAGAATCAAGTCTGTTTAACCGTGTATTAATGATTAACCATTTGGGGTTAAAATGCTGCCTCTCTACTTCATTCTTTATTCTCGAGTAAAATCTAGTAGAAATTTAAACATAAAAATCCTAGAAAATACCGAACATATGGAAATGATAGACACTGTCAAGCACATAAACCACCTTGTCTCTTGTAGTCTTAGGAATTTAACTGTTTTTCTCCTTTGCCATGAGGACGTGGGCCTGGGAAAGTTCAGTCACAGAACTGAAGTCTGTTTGATGCTAAATTGAATAAAGCCCGTGCTTTTAATGAATGGGGTCGGGAAGGGCTGATGGATTTGGTTACATGACAAGTCTTAAACTGGATGGCAAAAATCATGAATACTGGTAAAGTGACACGGATGCCTTGAAAGGTTGTTTAATAGTATGTAGCTAGAGCCTTTAAATTGAGCATGTTCTTTCAGCAATTCTACTTGAAGGGATGAGAATTGAACCAGGAAGTAGAGATATTTGTATACGAAGATTAAAGTGTTTACATTGGGCAAAATCAAAGCCTACATGTTGACCAGTGGATTAGTTAAAACGATGATGCATCCATATGATAAGGCTATTGGACCATAAAAAATGATTGTGTACATTTTCATGGGGAAAAGTCCATTGTATGTACATTATACCTAGTGTGTGTGTGTGTGTTTCAGTGCATATAACATGGATTTTGTAAAGAAAAGTATATAGCTAGTAGAGAATATGAATGGCTTCCCTCTTCCAATTTTTCTGCATTGACTGTGGATTATTCTTAAATAAATAATTAAAAATGCAAATGATCTTCCTGAACCCAGCAATTCTGCTTTAAGGTTTTTGCCCTAGGAATGTGTCTGAGAACTTATTCATATAGATATACATAAATTGGAAATAACTTAAAAGCCCAGCATGGGAGATTAAATTATGGTATAGAATCCTGTGTCCCTTTAAAAATCACTTTCACACCCAGTGAAAGAGACAATTCTTAATGCTTTAACTAAAAATTTACCATGTAAAGACTTGCCTACAATTTAAAATAAATTGTATGAACATGATTTAATACACACTAAGAGTCTATCTCAAAGCCTTGACACCATTTCTCTGTGAATGTTGATCTTTTTTCATAAACTGGAAACTGCTTCTTCCAACTGCTTATGTGAAACATAGTGTCCGCTGGTGGCTTACATGTGCACATAGAGAGGATAGGGACTGTAGTAAACAGCTGCTCTCCAGTGCCATGAGGGGCAAACCCAGTGTCCCCAAATATTCAAGTTCAAGAGGTTATCAGCTAGTGGGCAACCAATTCAAGTTTGTGTGTGTGTGTCTGTGTTTTTTGCTGGGAAATATTCGCCGTGAGCTAACATCTGTTGCCAGTCTTCGTCTCGTTTTTTTTCCCTCCCCAAAGCCCCAGTGCATAGCTGTATATTCTAGTTATAAGTCCCTCTAGTTCTATGTGAGCCACCACCACAGCACAGCTACTGACAGATGAGTGGTGTGGTTCCCCACCCAGGAACTGAACCCGGGCCGCTGAAGCGGAGTGTGCAGAACTTTAACCAGTAGGCCATCAGTGCTGGCTCTGTTTTTTTTTAAAGCACTTATCCGGGCAAAGTAATCTATCTGGACCAGATTCACCCCCAAAGACTACCAGTTTTCAACATTTTAGTTAAACCCGTGCTATCCTGCTAACTTGTCATCTTCTGGACTTCCTGATCCACAATTCGTCCAGGAGCTTTGACCTGTGCAGTTCATAGTCTTCCTGTCAGCTCTTCAGCCCATTTTCGATCCTGTCTGCTCACAGTACCGGGGAATCACTGGAGTTGTAAACTGGTGCAGTGAAAATGTCATCATCTTCATGTTGATGGTCTTATCACATTTCTTGGTAATTCCCTATAACTCTTGCTTTCAGTGACTATTCCGTGTCTGCAGCATAGCAGGCATGCAGTATATATCAGCCATTTTTATTCCAGCCATTACTGCCCTTGTGCCTCTTGTCACCCAGCATTTAAAGGAAAAGCAAAGGTTCTCTGGAAAGAACTCTTCAACAGGAGTGCCCACCACCCTTCCTGCCCAAGCTTGCCACAGTCCACGTGCAAATTCCTGAAGATGTAAAGCCATACTTTTCTTTCCAGTCTCCAAGGAAGAGGTGAAGTTAGGCCAGCATGTACCATCTACTGGAGATGGCTCCATTTTTAATTCCTGTGCCCCTCACTCCCGAATCCCAAACTAGAAGTCACCCCGGTGTTTGTAGTTGACCTGCCTTTCCCCTGAAGGTTCTTTGGTTTCCATGATCTGGTTCTCGGAGTTCTGCCTCCTCGGTTGCTGTCCTCACAGCTTTTGCTGCTTAGGTGCTGTGAGGTTGTGCGTTTTCTTCCCCACCCTCTTTTTTTGAGTGCCAAGCTGACATTTTCAATCCCTATTGGACCTCTTCACCTGAAACTCTGGTCCAGACCAACCCATTTTCATGGCATTTCCCTCCAAATCTTGTGTGAATGGGGTATTGAGAGGGCAGTGTTAAGTTCTCACTTAGTGTTCTTGTAACAACACCGAAGAATGCTTGAGACTTCGATGATCTTTGAGTTGCAGAAAAATCTTTTGATAAGAGCCATATCTAGAAGAGAAAATATGCACCAACTAGCCTGATTCACAATGTTAGGAGTTAATCTATTTTCCGTTAAGCCAGGAGTCACCCTGGGCCCAGCTTTATGCTGATTTAAAGGGCTGAGGAGGAACCTTGTAATGTCCTCAGGTGGCCAAGTTTGAAAACCTACAAGTAAATTTTTAATTAAAAATAAAAGAAGCAGAAAAACCAGTATGGAGTTGTCCCTTTGGATTACTATGACTCTGTTCTTGAACAATTCTTTTGCAAATAAATTAACACTGGACTTGAGCCCTATGATCATCATCTCTGATCACTCCCATAATAAAACTGGAAAAACTATGAACAAAGACAACAGTTGCTAATTCTGAGGAATAGTTCAGATTAAAATCCTGAGTGCAGTTACAGCAGAATTTGTTATTGCTTCTTTATGATACTTGAAATAGTCAAGATATAATTGATTACACAACTTATTGAATCACTGTCTAGCATCTGATGCTAGTAGCATTCCGCTTGTTGGTGCCCCTCAAAGAGGAGAGTACATATTGATAAGAATTTTAATTGAGAATGTGACCAAATTGGCTTTTGTGCTGCCGTTGTATTCACTATATCGATTTGCGTGTGCTAAAAAAAAAGTCCTAAGGCTGAGATGTGGGTATATAACAGGACACAGAATCCTGTTTGGGATTCTTCTGTCAAAGCTTGGTACTCATAGTCTTGTTTTCTCCTCTCCTCCTACCACCCTCTCCCCCAGGATGTTGCTTCAGAGTGTGAAGTCAAATGCATGCCAACCTTCCAGTTTTTTAAGAAGGGACAAAAGGTAGGTACATTTGACCTTGAAGGAAAACATGATGTGAATGAAGAAACTGTAGGGACTTATCCCTTCACATTGGGAAGCGTGTCCCCATTGTCTACTTTTAAGACTATTTAAATATGTCATTCTTCATTGATTTAAATACATAATGTGACATCTAATTGAAAATTGATCTTTGCTGGAGCTAGTCACTAAAATCCTTTTGATTCGTGCTTCATATTTATATTATAAAGTGCATTTGTCTTTGTTGAGGTATTTCTGTAAAAAAAATTGTATTTGAGACTGAGGGTTTTTCTTCTTAGTTTTTGTTTTTAACTAAAAAGAACTTTGTGTTATCTAGGGATGTTAATTTTTAATGAGATTATACTTCCCCCCCATTTCTTCCCATTGTATCATCATATCTTAGACACACAATAGGGACATGATGTACATCTAATGTCAATTCAATGTTCTCTTAACAGGTGGGTGAATTTTCTGGAGCTAATAAGGAAAAACTTGAAGCCACCATTAATGAATTAATCTAATCATGTTTTCTGAAAACATGACCAGACATCAGCTGTTTAAAACCTGTAATTTTTTTTTTATTTACAAAAAGGAAAGATCAAGTATGAAGACTATATACCCAACTGCCATCTGATTATAAGCGACAATAAAATATTAATTCTACCCTTTTTAAAACTGTCTGGTGTCTCTGAATAGCTTTCAGAATAAAAAGTGGGCATTAGATATTTAGTGTCCTAATTAGTTTCCTATATTCTTGATCACTTTTTAGTAATCTCATACATTATTAAGATTTTTTTCTATTATTACTACTTTAGTGTAGTTCTAGAAAAATCTTGTTGGGAGCAGTGCAGATAATAAAGTAGTATGTTAAAATTCTGTTATTTTTTGACCCTTATGAACAGAGAAAATAGTTTTCTGTTCTAGCAGGCAGAGCCCGTGTGCTGTCTGAATGATCAGCATGACCACAATTGATGTCCACCTGTGAAGGAACTGTTTATCTCTAGTTTGAGATTCCTCTTCAAAAGGTCGTAGTGAGCTGCTAATTTTGCTAATGGGAACTGAGTCCTATTATATCAATTGGGAATTCATCATGGTCAGCTCACAAGGGAGTTCCCATAAACCTCACCATGGGAATTTTGGTTCCCTCAAAGTATCTAGGAAACTGCTTTTATAGGCCAGATGGCAGTTTCAACCTGAGTGGTAAATGATGTAGAAGTTACTAGTTATTTCATTCAAAGCGCATTAGGTGTCTGTGTTCTAGACACAACAAAGGGCTGGAGGGATACTTGAAAAAGGAGTTCTTAAATTTGTACAATAATGAAAATCATAGAATTAATCATATGCCCTGCACCATCCTTACATTAATTCAATCCTTGCAACAATCCAATGAGCTAAGTACTATAATCCCCATTTCCCAGTGAGGAAACAGGCAAAGAGAGGTTGAGTAATTTCCCCAGTGTCACGCTAGTCAGTGGAGGATCTGAGATTCGAACCAAGGGATCCTGGAGCCTGAATCCGTCCTCTCAACCACTACACTGCCTCTCAGTGTAACAACCTGAATAACTGGTAAAGCCATGGGCCCTTACGTGGGTTTCTTCATCTAAAATTAGGTGCTGAGCTTAGATAATCTCTCAAAATGTTAACTAAATGTCTACTATGTGCCAGGCACTGTTCTAGGCTAGGGATAGAGCTATGAATAAGACATCCTTTTCATAGAGCTTACATTCTAGAAAGGGAGGCAAACTAATGAATCATAGACTGTGTTGTATTCTATGAGGGCCAAACAAACATGAGCACAGTAATTGAGAATAATAGGGTGACCTGCTTTGGATGGAGTGGTTGGGGTAGGGTTCTGTGAGGTGACTAAGCTGAGATCTGATGGCGAAAAGGACTCTGACCAGCAAAGAGCCAGGGAATCCACTTCCAGCAGAGAGAATGGCATGCACAAAGGCTGTTGAGTCAAAAAAAGAGCTTGGAGCGTTATAGAACCATCAGAGAAGCATGAAATAAAGCTGATAGAGTAGCAGGGGCCAATCATCCAAGGCTTGATTTGTTGTAGGTGCAAAGGAAAGCCATAGAAGGGTAAGCTGGAGGTTGCTGTGCTCTGATACTCAGTTCGTTTTGGCAGCTGTATGGAAAATGGGCTGGAGGAGGCTAAGAACTGCAAGACCAGTTAGGCTTTTGCATTTACCTGGGCTGGAGATAATGATGGCTGTGATTGGGGGTGGTGGGGAGGTTGTAGAGAGGGAACAAAACGTGTATGAAGACAATCCAAGGACTCCTGGGAGTGGGATTCTAGAGCACATCCCAGGTTTTCAGCTTGGGCAAGTGGGTCATTGAGGTCCCATGTAATGAGTGAGATGAGGATTGGAGGAAGTGGGTCAGATTCTCTCTGGACATGTTAAGATAGATTCTTCGGTGGTGTGCATTCAAATGAAGATGTGCAGGCTGTTGGGTATAGGACAGGTCTGGACTGGGATAAGAATCTGGAAAACATTGTCATGTAGATGGCTCAGGAATGTATGTGATCACCCAGGAAGAGAAGAGTGAAGAAGGCTCAAAACAGCCTGGAGAACTCCCAATATTTAGAGACTAGTAAAGCAGGAACCAACAAAGGTTTAAGGGAGACCAGAGGGAAAGGAGGAGAACCAGAAGAGGCTTTTATCCCAAAAGCAAAGAGGAGATATCAAATGCTGTTGAGAGGCTAAGAAAGATGACAGGAAAACAAAACGGAGGTGGTAACTGTGACAAAAAATTCCTGTGGAAGGATAGGACGGAAGCCAGATTGGTGAGAACTGAGGAGTGAATGATCAGAAATGACCTGGAAATCACACTTTTCATATCTATCCTAAAGGAAGTAACGTTTGTGAAGAAAAATGTCCAAGGATAATTGTTGCAGGATTGTTTGTTTATAGCAGCACAAAATTGGATCTCCATCAATAGAGGGATGGTTAGATTCAACATGATAAATCCTTTCTAGGTACTATAGAATAAGGAGCTATCAATACTGCAATAGGAAAATCTCAAAGTCACTGAGTGAAAAAAGCCAAGTTGCAGAATGACATTAACAATACAGAACAGTATGATTCCATTTGTATAAAACAAAACATGCTAGCCATCCCCATAGGTAAATCTTCATGTAAATTAAAAGGAAAAGATCTCCAAGGAGACGTTTCTAGCTAATCACAGCAGTGACTTCTGGAGAGGGGGGTAGGTAGAGATTGATGGTTTTTAGTTTTATCTGTAAATGTCTGGATGTTTCATAACAAGAATATGTTCATGTATTACTTACAAATTAAAAATAAGTGACTAGAATGTAAAGAAAGGGAAGTGGGGTCTGTAGAATTCAGAGAAATTTTGCTCTAAAGTGGAGCTGAGAGACGGAGTTAAAAGGCATTTTATATATAAGATGATGGGTTTGCTAGCATGCAACTAGAAATGATACAGAGGTAGAGATTGATTTTGCAGGAAAAAGAATACCTGAAAAAGGGAATTTCTTGTGTAGTCAAGAAAGAATGGGATTCAGAGCACGATGGGAGAGATGTATTGGATAGGAGGAAAGTCATTTCCTCCACCATAACCAGTGGAATAAAGATGCATGCATGGGCACCTAACTATATAAAGCAAATATTAGACCTAAAAGGAGAAATAGACAGCATATAATAATAGTAAGGGACTTTAATACCCCACTTACATCAATGGATGGATCATCCTGACAGAAAAATCAATAAGGAAACATCGACCTTAAACAACACATTAGACCAGATGGACCTAACAGATCTATACAGAACATTACATCCAAAATCAACAGAATGCACATTCTTCTCAAGGGCACATGGAACATTCTCCAGGATAGATCATATGTTAAGCCACAAAACAAATCTTAAATTTAAGAAGATTGAAATCTTATCAAGCGTCTTTCCCAACCACAATGGTATGAAACTAGAAATCAAATACAAGAAGAAAACTGGAAAATTAACAAATATGTGGAGACTAAACAACATGCTACTGAACAACCAATGGGTCAATGAAGAAATCAGAAGAGAAATCAAAAAATACAAATGAAAATGGAAATACAGTATACCATAACTTATGGGATGCAGCAAAAGCATTCTAAGAGGGAATTTCATAGCATTAAATGCCTACCTCAAGAAACAAAAATCTTGAAACAACTTAATTTTACACCTTAAGGAACTAGAAAAAGAAGAACAAAGCTCAAAGTTAGTAGAAGGAAGGAAATAACAGATCAGAAGAGAAATAAATGAAATAGAGACTTAGAAGATGATAGAAAAGGTCAATGAAACCAAGAACTGATTCTTTGAGAAGATAAAATTGACAAACTTTTAGCTAGATACACCAAGAAAAAAAACGTGGGGGACTCAAATAAAATCAGAAATAAAAGAGGAGACATTACAACTGATACCACAGAAATACAAAGGATCATAAGAGACTACTGAGAACAATTATACACCACCAAATGGGACAACCTAAAAGAAATGGATAAATTCCTAGAAACGTACAACCTTCCAAGACTGAATCATGAAGAGAGAAAATCTGGATAGACCAATTACTAGGAAGGAGACTGAATCAGTAATCAAAAACCTCCCAACAAACAAAAGTCCAGGACCAGATGGCTTCGCTGGTGAATTCTACCAAACATCCAAGGAAGAATTAATACTAATCCTTCTCAAACTCTTCCAAAAAATAGAAAAGGAGGGAATGCTTCGAAACTCGCTTTGCAAGACCAGCATTACCCTGATACCAAAACCAGACAAGGACACCACAAGAAAAGAAAATTACAGGTCAATATCCCTGATGAACAGAGATGCAAAAATCCTCAGCAAAATATTAGCACCAAACTCAACAATACATTAAAAGGATCATACACTATGATCAAGTGGGATTTATTCCAGGGATGCAAGAATGGTTCAACATCTGCAAATCAATGTGATACACAACTAAATGAAAAATAAGAATCATGATCATCTTGGGGCCAGCCCGGTGGCATAGTGGTTAAGTTCACACGCTCCACTTTGGTGGCCCAGGGTTCGCAGGTTCAGATCCCAGGCGCGGACCTACACACCGCTCATCAAGCCATGCTATGGAGGCATCCCACATACAAAATAGAGAAAGATTGGCATGGATGTTAGCTGAGGGCCAATCTTCCTCACCAAAAAAAAAAAAAATCATATGATCATCTCAGTAGAGGCAAAAAGAGCATCTGACAAAATTCAACATCCATTTACGATAAAAACTTCCAAAGTGGGTACAGAAGGAACATACCTTGACATAAAAAAGGCCGTATATGACAAGCCCACAGCTAACATATACTCAATGGTGAAAACCTGATCAGGAACAAGACAAGGATGCCCACTCTCACCACTTTTATTCAACATAGTATTGAAAGTCCTAACAGAGCAATTAGGCAAGAAAAAGAAATAACAGTCATCCAAATTGGAAAGGAAAAAGTAAAACTGTCACTATTTGCAGATGACATGATATTATATATAGAAAACCCTAAAGGCTCCACCAGAAAAGTGTTAGAACTAATAAATAAAGTTGAAGGCTATAAAAATAATATACAGAAATCTGTTGCATTTCTATACACTAATAATGAACTATATGAGAAATAGTAATTAAGAAAACAATCTCATTTGTAATTGCATCAGAAAGAATAAAATACCTAGGAATAAATTTAACCAAGGAGGTGAAAGACCTGTACACT